CTGTTGACGCATTTGTTTTTACTATTTTTTGATTTTTTAAAAATATGTAATAATTTTGTTCTGAGGCGCTCGCATATTTGTTCAATACTTCTAATGTATCGTATTTTTTAAATTTTTATAATTTCAACTATTTTTTCATCTATTTTACAGTTCACAAAACTCTTATTGATTACTWTTTACACATTTGGAGTGAAATAGTTTTTCCATGGCCAACTATTATCAAACAAAATATGCATTTCATTTTCTAAGTATAATTATAAAAAAATATTCTGTTACAAATATGTATTTTTAGATTAGAAAAAAATAAGCTTTTCAAAATTGCCATAGCCGCCTATGATTTCCATTTAAAAAAATACAAGTTTATTTTATTACGGCTAAACCAATAACTCAAAAAAAATGTTAACTATATTAATAAATTCCTCGTAAAAAAGTGCCTGTATAATGTCTTTATTTCAAATCCGTATCTTCTATAATAACGAAGATATGATTTTTTTTTAGATTTCGCCAAAATGTCAACTTTTGTCTGTAAGTCGAAAACAAAAGACGATAGCGGRATGCGGTTTTAACCAATATTATTTTCTCAAAAAATGAGCCACAGAATGTATCACTCGTTTTTGGCTAAACATATTAGTTTCGGAGATTCCCTATTCGGACATTCAAAATTCAGCACCCTGTACAGTGATATGCTTCGTTAGCAACAATACTAGAGAAGTAATTAAAAGTCAATTAAATATCGTTATTAATAATAAAAAAATTATTGTGTTTGATCCAATTAAACACTTAGGACTCATAATAGATGATGATTTTCGTTTTAAGTCTCATGTTAATATGGTCCTAAAAAAATCTTATTCTTACCTTAAATTATTATACGCAAACTGTTTAATTATAAATTTTAAATTATGTAAAAAATTGACAGAAAGCTTAGTTTTATCATTTATGAAATACTGCTTAATCTTATACTATCCTTGTTTAAACAATATGTCAAAATACAAATTAAAAATCCAAAATAGCTGTTGTAGGTTCTTTGGCTTAAAAAAAATTCGATCATGWCTCGCCCAAAATACTCGAACTACGTTGGTTAAAAGTTGAAAATATGTATCGACACCAATTGGGTACATTTATGTTTAAACTTATGACAACTTCGTCTCTATCCTACCTTAGGAAAAAAATGTCTCGGTTAATAAATTTCGTACACTCTATAAAGATTTCTTGTTCTCATATAGTTAATTATGATACCTAATAATGTTATTTATGATATATTTTTTCTGTTTCATTTTTATTTCTTATTATTATTATCATTATTTTTTTTCTCTTATTATATTTTTTATTATTTTGGGGTTGAGTTGAGTAGCCTTTGGCTAATTTCGCCCCACAGAGCTTGTATTTATTTTATTTTATATATTATTTTTTTCCAATAAAGGTCTGTTATTATTATTATAATGCATTTACCAGTTAAAACTGGTGAACACGTGGAACACGTGATTTCTCTCAAATAATCACGAGTTTTAGCTCTCTTAGTAGAAGTATTGCCGGATATAGGTCCACTAGAACTTTTTTTCTCATTTTGACCTAAAGAATTATCCCACGAAATATTTGAACGGTTTTTTTTTGAACATCTGCATTTCTCCTCTCTTGCACTTTCTTTGGTAATAGGCGTTTGGAAAGAGTAAAAGTCGGAAAGTTTTACACCTACGTCAAAAACCAACAAAATATAGGAACCTGCGTTCGATTTATTTATCAAATGGCAAAAACTTGRGGTCACTCTAGAGGCATTTAAACTTTTACACCAAAAACACTCGTAACTTATYCCAGATTAAAACAATTTGTACAAACAAATACGCCAGGATTATTCCCGACGCTAATCAGTTTTTCGGAACATTTTATACACGACTAATTCAAACATATAGAATCAACAGAATTTCACAATTTAGTTGATTTTRTTGAGGATTTCAATTGTTTGTGCTTAAATTGCAATAGGAAAATGAAAATCGTGTAATCATAACAAATTTGCCGTTAAATTCATAAATTTTTGTGGATACCTGATTACAAAAAATAGACGAAAAAGAACAACAAACAAACGAAAATTCTTACCGTAGAAGGAGGACACTGGCTGCTACTATGGTGTAAGCCATAAGGGTTCCTATAGACATCATATTTATCAATTGGTTAACATCAAAGAGAGCGGCCATTAGGCCAGTCAAAAGCCCGGCTACTAAAGTACCAGCAACGGGTGTTTTAAATCGTGAACTGACTCGTCCCAAGAAACGAAAAACGAGACTATCGGAAGCCATCGCGTAGATTATTCTCGGAAGTGGAAACATTGCACCAAATAAACTGAAATAAAACACATTTCACTTAAAAAAAATTGTACAAACATTTTTGTAAACCTGGCACATAGTGCAAAAAGACCACCAATGGTAACAACCCACTTGGCCCAACTCATGCCGACCATTTCAAAAGCATGGGGAAGTGGGGCGTTATAATCCTAAAAAACAACCAATCATTTTTAATTTRACGTAATGAATTAGCTGTATTACCTCATTATAAAATGGGACCATTAAAGTAAGAACCGTTGAAGTGCCAAAATATGCAAGAAATATGATAAACAATGAAAAAATAATCGACACTGGAATGGCCCTTTTTGGATTTTTCACTTCCTCTCCCGTCGTTGCGATGCAATCAAAACCCACAAACCCATAAAAACAGGTCGCTGCCCCTTTGATCATCCCTTCAACGCCGAAGGGGAAAAATCCACCCTCGTCGCCCGTGCCGGTGCCATTGGACGGCAAATACCAGTTATCCGTGTTGGCTACATTAAAAAATAATTGAAATTGAAATGATCAACAAATAATAATTCACGACAAACCTTTAGTAGCCCCGGCGATCACCACGAACACCACAACGAATAAATTAATCACAGTGAATATATTATTAACCATACTGCTCTCCTTCAAACCGAA